ATTAAGAAATCATATATGATGTAAAGTTGGCAGAAATTACTCTTTGCTGAGGGAAGTGAGGGAGACAAGAGATGCAAAGATTACTCTAATGTCTGCAGCTGAGATCCTGAATTGACAGGGAATTTACAGGGAATTCAGGATAAAGAGCAGATGCTGGAGACAGATAATGAGTTTAGTTTTGAGCACATTGCATTTTCGATGCCTGTGGGATGCACCACTAAAGCTAGCTGGCAAACAGCTGATCGAATGAAGTTTAGGCATCATCCATTCCTAGATAATAGCAAAAACCATGAAAATGTATGAGCTCACTCAGAGAACATACAGAATGATAAGTAAGGGAGACCAATAGGAAAAAATCCTTGGGAACACCGGCCTTTATGGGTGAAGGAAACTGTAGAAACAGTGTCAGAGAGGTGAAAAGACACCCGGAGGAACGTGGCAAAAGAAAACAGAATTTCCAGGAGGGAATGGCCAGTCACGTCGAATGGGGTTAATGCTGGAAAGCACCCAGTGGATTTCGAGGTTAGGCTGTCATTGGTGATTATCCGGATAATTATTTAACAAAGAGGCAAAGGCAGAAATCAGATCATGGCACAGGGAAGAGTTCAAGAAAGGCAAGATGACAGAGAAAGCAAGTGTTCACAATTCCTTTGAAGTCTTGCTAAGAATCTGATGCCCCCAGGGCGGGAGTAAGAGAGAGCAGCAGGACTGTGGGCCTGGGGAGAGCGGCATGAGTTTGGGAAACGCACTGAGTAAGGGAAAGGGGCCGGCCAAGCACTACTGAACGATAACTGAAGGGTTTTTTGAGAATAAAATCCAGAAAATTTCAGTGGCACCAAATCCATACTTTTGTTCTACCTCCCTGTCAAAAGGTGAGGTGCAGAATTAGCCCAGCATTAGATCAAGTTGCCAACACAGTCGCTAGACGTATCCACCTCTAGCGACTAGGCAAAGGTGGAAATGCAGGCTTTTAGCTTTCCAGGGTCTCTAGCGGAGTGAGCAAAGGAAAATCGGAAATCTCTGCTGCTTCACCCAACAAGCAGGGTTTGGCCCAGAGACCAAGATTCCACCTCCTCGTAGGCCAGTCAGCTCGGTGGAGAACGCCGCAGCAGCATTGCCACAGGTAGTTAGCTGGGCGTCTCAAAGGTGCCTGCTTTTATGCCACAGCCCTACGAGGGACAAGGATATCGTGAATGATCTGGTGTGACCCATCATCCCCAGTTTCAGAAAAACAGCTCAAAGTGCACATCTTAATAAAAGGATCAAGTACTAGTGTTTTTAAAGCCCACAATATATGCGTGGTCTGCCGATGTGAAGCAGTCCCCAAGATAAATATCTGACCACGTAGCCTCTAAAGGGGTGTGTGCAAGTGGGGGCATGTGCATCTAGCAACCTCCCATCTTGACTGTAATCTCCCAAACGGCAGAATCTGTCAGCCTTGCTTTTTTGTAGATTTCCATTTGACATTTATAGGCTAGTTCATTGTCTTCGTGGCCTTCGTCTGCCATGCTCAGCAGCTCTTTGGTCAGTGTATTCCTTCTCGGTAAGAAAACTTCGTAAACTTCAGTGAGCCCTCAAAACTTTGCAAGCCACCTTTGCGATAGAAATCGGGGCCTAATTTTCCATGTTGCTTTACTAAAATGTGATGTTTTTGCTATAGACTGCAGTCAAGCAAAATGTATAGTGTTGCTGTTCTAAAGTGTTTTTTTACCTCATTCATTGCAAGTTTTATCCTGGTTACTTAGCTTGCCATTAACTTACTCTACTTGGATATTTTTTAATGGTATGATTCGGCAGTGGTCAGTTGCTAAACATAATGAAATTATATATTTCTGTAATAAGAAGTTGAGGGGGGTGTGTGTGTGTATAACTTTCTTGGTGGAATTTGTCCAGAATGCCATTGGTAGAGTTTGGGATATTAGTACAATAGTTCCCCCTTATCTGCGGCTTTCCTTTTCATGGTTTCAGTCACCCACAGTCAACTGCAATCCGAAAATAGGAGATAGAAAATCCCAGAAATAAACAGTTCATAAGTTTCCAGGTGTGCACCATTCTGCGCAGCATGATGAAATCTCCCGTGACCCCGTTCCACCCTGCCTGGGACGCGACTCATCCATCCGTCCCACGTCTCCCCAGGGCCTGCTGCCCTCCCGTCAGCCACCCAGTGGGTAGCCTTCTCCAGTACCAGGCCCACTGTCCCGGTATCACAGTGCTTGCATTCAAGTCGCCTTTATCTCGCTTCACAGTGGCCCCAAAACACGAGAGGTGGAAGGCGCTGGTGATTTGGACATGCCAAAGAGATGCCGTAAGCACTTCCTTTACACAAAAAAAGGCATGAAATGTAGGGAAAAAACAATGTCTACAGGGTTCGGTACCACTCAAGGTCTCTGGCATCTGCTGCGGGTCGTGGAACGTATCCCCTGATGATAAGGGGGATGGCTATAGAACTTTGAACGTCAGACCACGGGTCCAGTTTTTTCAGGGCCTGATTTCTGCCTCTTCATTGGTACATAGCATCTCTCTGTGCCACAGTTAGTGTCACACACCCGAGGAATCCAGCAGCTCAAAAGCCCTAACATGCTTCGAAACATCTCATCACTGTCACCTATGGTTGCCGTCATCCAGCCTGCCAAACGAAAGCATTAGGAACGCTGTGATCTGACGCAGGGATGAAGCACCGTTGCTTCATGGGATGAGGCACATTGAATAACGTTGACATTAGAAAGGGAACGCGACGTCACACATCTGGCCTCCTGCAGATCGAGTCGGAGAGCATCGTAGGTGATGCCCAGGCTGCTGATAGTTCTAAACCTACATCACTACACTCCCTTCCTCCTTACACATCAGTTCCTGTGATCAAAATTTTTCTTCTTTTGTGTTTGCTGTGATAATTGATTAAAGTCTGGTTCCATAGTGGGGAACATGGCCTTCTAAGTCATGACCATCTCTCTGGTCCCGCCTGGGGGCTGGGCGAGAGTCTAGGAATAGACGCAGCTCTGAAAGCCCACAGCTGCAGGTGCCGCGGCAGCCACGCGTGACTCCTACCCTCTGAGGTGTGCACAGCCTGCCCGCTAGTCAGCAGTGCCTCGCCGTATCCTGGGGACACCGCCTCCTCTGGTGAGGAGGAGGATTTTAGATGGAAAAGCAAAAAATACTGATAAATGGAAATTGAACTTCAAGATGGATGGAATTACCTTCTAAGTAACTTGTTGCTATAAGTAAGCTTCTTACCCTGGACAAATCACATGCTAAGGAGTAATAATAATTATTCATGTTTATTATTTATGTTAATGTCGAGTGAGTTTTGTGTGCTTTTGGTTTAAGTGTTTTATCTACATTAACCTATTTAATACTCTCAACACCTCCATGCTCTAGGCGCTATTATCTCCACTTTACAGAAAAAGAAACCGAGGCACACAGAATTTAAGTAATTAGCTCCTGGTTACCTAATAAGTAGTGAGGTCAGGACTCAAGGCCAGTCTTTGAGGCTCTAGTGAACTAAAAAATATTTTTTAAAAAAATGTTAAAGATTTTACTTATTTATTCTTAGAGGGAAGGGAAGAAGAGAAAGAAGGAGAGAAACATCAATATGTGGGAGAAACATCGATCAGTTGCTTCTCACTCACCCCTAGTCAGGGGACCTGGTTCCCCTGGCAACCCAGGCATATATATGCCCTGACTGGGAATCAAACCGGCAACTTTTCACTTTGCAGGACAATAGCTAACCACTGAGCCACACCAGTCCAGTCAGAGCTTAAAAGAACTCCTGAACAAAATTGCCACATTAACTTGGAAGAAGTCATGGGGAACTGGCTGCACAATAGAAGTATAGACATAGACAAATGTAGTTCACATTTCTGCTGTTCAGTGTTTTCCTGAAGGCGGTGTCCAAGTGCTAGTAAATATTTTATCAGTTACTTAGGGAAGATGCAGAAGGTAGCTTTATAAAACTTTCCAAGAAGACTTTTAGGACTTCAGTTGACTGTAAGCTCTATGTGAGTGAAAGCAGAATCTAGCACGCTAGCACCCCCACCCCTGGGCACCGCAGGCTTCCAGCGAGCAGTGTGGCGTCGAGAGCGAAGGAGTGGATAGCCCATTCAGACAGGTCAGGGTACTCCGCAGTAGTTACTGTGTCCGCCCCTGCATCCCACACTTCGGGGGAGGCATACAGCAGTTGCTGTGGTTTTGCTGGTAAAGTATGAGAACTGTAAAATTCTTCAGTTCATTCATTTGGAGAATAGTTGAAAAACTGGGGCTGTTTAGCTTGGAAAAGGGAAGACTTCAAGGAAGACAAAGGAAATGTCTTTAATACGTGAAGTGCTGACACGTGAGAATGACTGTGAAGTTGGCGAAGCAGAGCCAGTGATTAGAAGTTAACGATGACACCCCTGGCTGGGCAGCTCAGCTGGAGTGCCGTCCCAGCACCCCAAGGTTGGGGGCGTGCTCCCCAGTCAGGGCACATACAAGAATTAATCAGTGAGTGCATAAGTACATGGAACACCAAATCAAGGTTTCTATTCTCCGCCCCTCTTCCTCTCTGTCTCTAGAAATAAATAAAATAAAGTGTTTTTTAAATAAGAGAATTTAATGACAAAGATACGGCTTGATGTGGGACGGTCAGAGCTTTCAGAGAAGGAATCAGCCGCCTCAGAAGGCCCCCGTTTCCTCCCACACATGTGCGTGGTGGGTAGGCAGCCACTGGCAGACGTGTGCGTGACGCAGGCACAGGCCGCATGGCTGGGCCGATGTCTGCTGAAGTCACTTCCAACTCCGTGAGATTCTGCTTTTGTCATTCTGCGAATTCAAAACAGTCATCGGGCCTCTGGTTTTAATCAAGGACAGAAACATTCTACCCTGTCTTGGGTGTCTAATGCCGCCAACACCAGCACTCGCCAGATTGGTAAAAACAACGTGATGAGCGACAAAACACCATGTCATTTCAGAAGTGTCTCTAGGCCCCTCGTGGAATGACCGGCGTTGTTCTCACCCCTCTTTTTCAGTGCTGTCTCCGGCCCAGGATGGCCACGTGACCGTGGACCTCCCCCCAGTGTCCGAGCAGATCACGCAGACCCTGAGCGAGCTGGCCAGATCGTTCCAGGACATGGCCGACCGCTGCCTGCTGGTCCTCCACCTGGAAGTCAGGTACGACCCCGCTCCGTGCAGGACCGAGGGTGAAAGACGCTGCGGGTCATAAATCACGTGCTTGTCTCTGGGGAGTCTCACCGTAATTCTTGGTTATTATCGATGCTGTCCTTTTCTTCCACTGAGTGTGATGTTTGGCGTCACTCGACCGCGCTCAAGGTGCGGTATTGTGAGCACGGCAACTCGGCGCCAGCCAGGCCTGCGGCAGCAGAACAGCCCGGGTCGGATGTCTGGACCAGCTGGCTGTCAGTCTTAAGACGGTTTAATTAAGTTCACTGACCCTCAGCGTCCTCATCTTAGAAATGGAAATGATAATTCTTAACTTACAGTTTTATAAATGGCATAATTAACACAATGCCTGCCACACAGTAAGCATGCAGAATGTGGCGGCTTCACGATTATGACGACTCCACTGTCCTTGATATTTGTACTAAGGTGTCTGCCAATCAAATGAAGGACTGTGATCCTTTCCTTCAGAAATTTAAAACCCGATTGAAGAGAGGAAATTAAAATAATAATTCAAGAAAATACACGTAGTTTCCAAGGTACTGTACCCTCGGCCTCTTGTTTCTTCCCCTGCAACGCAGAATGTGCTGTTGCGCTTTGGCAACCTCTTACACCCACAGAAATGGTAGCAAGGAAGGATGAGGGAGTCTAATTGCCGATTCACTCATTCAGTAAATATGTACCGAGTGCCTTCCTCGTGCCGGGCAGTGTTCCGAAGGTCGGTGGGGCCTGGCGAGGGACAAAGCGCTCAAGGCCACAGCCCCCCGGGAAGCACACCCTCCCGAGGAGAAACAGCCAGTGAGGGAACACAGAGACAGTTCAGAGAGGTGCAAGCGACACTCTGAAAAAGCAGGATGGAACCAAGCAGCACTATCCAATAGACGTACAAAGTGAGCCACACGTGAAGCACACAGGCAACTTAAATGTTCTAACAGTCACATCGGAAAAAAAGAGGGAAGCCTAAATTACAACAACACACTTTATTTAACCCAGTGTAACCAAAATACCATTTCAGCGTGTCATTTGCATAAACATTATTAAGGAGATGGTTTGTACTGTTGGCCCCGAGTCTTCGACGTCTGCGTGCTGGACGCTCACGGCACCCTGGCATGGGACTGGTGGCTTTTCAGGGGCCTGCACGTGGCCGGTGCTGGCCTCCGGGCAGCGCAGGGAGTGGCTGCGGTGGACCCGCAAGGGGGATCTTGTTGGCTGTTTGTTTGTTTTTTAGGTAGAGCATCCAGAGAAAACATGACCAGGTGGTGAGAGGGAGCCATCTGTGCAAAGACCAGGGGGAAAGAGTCTCAGCCTCTTCTGAGGGAGGAACGTTCACAAGGCCCTGAGACAGAGGCGGGGGTGGAAGGGAGAGGGGTCCGGCTGACGGCGGCCTGGTGGACGGGGGCAGGGCAGGCGTGGAGGGGCAGGTCAGGCACCGGGGTGTAAGAGGCTTTGCAAAGGAGACATGTTCATTCATCATTCACATTCTTTTCATTTTTTAAAAAATGAAATGTATTGGGGTGACACTGGTTAGTAAAATTACATAGGTTTCAAGCGTACAGCTCCGTGATACACCATCTGTGTGTGGCATTGTGTGCCCACCACCCACAGTCAGATCTCTTCTCGTCGCCACGAAGTTGGCCCCCTTTACTGCCCTCCCCACCCCCTTCCCCGGTAACTGCCCTGCTGCTGTGCGTGTCTGTGAGCTTCTGTTTGGTTTTCTTCATTTTTGTTGGTTTGCTTTCATTTTGTTTCTTCAGTTTTTGTTCATTTGCTGCTTTCTGTTTATGTCCCACATGTGACTGAAATCATGTGGTTCTTGACTTTCTGTCTGACTTACTTCACGTAGCATGTTGAGGACTGGTTAAAGATGCAGTCTGTGTACATAGTGGAATACTACTCAGCCATAAGCAAAGCTGAATACTGCCATTTGAGACAATGCAGATGGACCTGAAGAGGATCGTGCTAAGCGAAATGAGTCCGACATTCACTGACATGTTTAAAAGATCCCTTTGGCTGTACATGGAAGAGGAATTTCAGGGAGAGGGCGAATGGAAGCAGAGTGACCAGGTGCAACCAGTTACGAGCACCAGGGTGGCGGAGGTGGGAGTGTGAGGAGCGCTGGACTAGAAACACCTCTGAAGGGAGAGCCGATAACATTCGTCCAAAGATCAGATTGGGCGCAGGGCTGGACGCAGTGAGAGAGAGCGTGCTAAGGACGCCACCAGCTGCGGGGCCACCGCCAGGGCCGTTAGCTGCGGTGAGCAAGACTGAGTGAGGACAGAGGGTGGGCGAGGGGTGGAAAGCAAGAATCCCATTTTGGGGACATGTGGTTTGGATGCTTAATAGACATCTAAGTCCAGCAGCAGTGTTAAATCGGCAGTTGGGTATGGGCTTTAGAAACTTCAGATCAGAAACCTTAGCACCGGAAAGTGTATAGTAAGTAATACATTTTCATGTGCTACTTGTTTTTTTATTCTTCATTGTCTTGTCCAGTGAGTTACGTCTTTATTGCTTGCAAGCACCTTTATTGTGGGTGGAGCGAGAGAAGGAGCATCTCCGGTTTGGAGTCCGTTTTACTCAGCATCATTTCTGAACCCATTTCTTACCATTCAGCTGTCCAGAAATAAAGCTGTTCCTCTGGGCTTTCTAATTTGATTTACAGTAATATCTAGGTTTGTGTTCTATTTATTTATAGGATGACAGGTGTTTTCTGTGACTAGGTAAATGCTACAGGCATAAAAGAAAACCACCCGGTAACGTTCGGATGCCTCTGTTAGCCGGTGGCACAGAAAAACGGGGGAACATCAAACGTGTTACTCTCGCAGCTCCTGGAATTACGCTATTGATTGTGTGGGCCCATGATATTGTCTACATTTAGAATTATCTGCTTGTAGTGTAGTTAATTCCAAGTGGGGTATTTTGAACATGTTTGAGTAAAATCTTTTAAATCTTTGACCTCCATTCTGCCCTTTTTGTTTTTGTACATCTTGGCAGTACTATTCTATGATGCCGAACACGGTTTGGTCATTATTTATTAAGTTTACAAGGAACCATTCAGTGCTGTAACATCCACTGCTACATCTCCTTTAACATTCGTCAGAAAACAGAAAAAGATCACTTGAAGAAAGAATAACAAAAATGGCCGAGTTTTACTGTGAATATTAAACATGTTTATTTTTTTCTAAACTGAATGTCCTCACCTCCTCCTATAACACTGTTTCAACATGCAGGCCACTTTCTTATGAATATGCTCCATTTTGTCTTTGTTTTGTTTGCAGCACGGTGCACAGAACAAACAGAGCGCTCCGTGTGCGGCTCAGACCGTGCGCGTTCACACCATGCGTTCCCTGTCACAGTACAAAGCTTTTTGTTCTGTTTTACAGTTGATGACAAATCCGTTTACGGAATGACTATGACACACCCCAAGCCAATCATTCAGCCGTGATATAACAATGCTGAAACCGCAGACTGCTGTGTGCCCCGGGTACCCACAGTGGGTGACCGCGGGAGAGGCTGTTAGCTCCCGGGGACGGAAACCAGGTGCATCTCGTTCGCTGTCACAGCCCGAGGACCAGGAAGCGCCCTGCTGCCTACTAGGTGCTCAGTGGAAACACCAGCGCCTCTCGAGGATTGGCTGGCTTGACACCAAACCCAGATGAATTAAGTGCTGTCTCCCCAAATCAAACCGGTCTCCCATTAAAGATGACGAGTCGGTTTGGGGATTCTAGCTTCACCGAGCATTTCACTACATGTATTTGAGGGACAGAGAGGTGCCGTGTGGCCAGTGTCGTCATTGTCATAGTAGTCAGCTCGTGTGTGCTCCATCCCCATCCTGCCGTGAGAATGGGTTAGAACTTAGCTCCCATTGTCCACACGCTGGTGCAGTGGAGAGTGGCTAGTTAGTCAGGGTCCCTGGCATTTGTCGCCCACCGTAGTAAGCATGCAGATGGAAGAGACCAAAAAATCATGGGAAATGCTGGCGAGAGGTCCAGAGTGACTTCAAATGCCAAAAATTTGTCTTCTTCTCCCAAATATTTTCATATTCATAACCCATATTTTTCTTTACTGTTGTTAAAGTTCAAGTCAAAAGTGTCCCCAAACCCGGTAGGTTCTGTGTTGCAGGGACCATCCAAGGGCATTTGACATTCTCCCTGTGTCACCATAGGTCACAGTTAACCACCAAGCAGTGCCTGGCCACAGTCTGAAACATAAGGCAAGTGACACCCCCAAGAAGTGAAGGACATGGCGAGGCCACAACACGGGGTTCAGTATTCTTTCATATTGGAACTTTAGGAGAAGAAGTTTGGGTCTAAGATGCCGAGAATCTCACCGTCAGCAGGCCTCCACGCAGGTCCAAGTGCAAACTGCCTGTCCCTGTTGGGACCCTAAGTGTGCGCTTTCTGAACTTTCCACCGTTCCGCTGTGTGATCAGCATTATCTGGCAGAAACTCTTGATGCCAAAGTCCTATCAAGGTCAGGAACAAGATGCCAGAATCCAAAAGACACAGGGGAAAAAAAAACACTTTTCTAAAAATTTTTAATATCTGTCAGTGACTACTTTAATTTCTTTTTCATCTCTAACCGTTTCGGGAGAGGAAGACAGTCCCTTAAAACAGTGTTCACCTCTGCTCTCTGCCACTCACATCAGGATCGCATAAGCCATCACCTCCCGTTCAGAATAACGTCCTACGTAGTCTCTCTACTTCCAGCTTATTCCGTGCTCCACCATCAGTCCACCCTTTATACTCTACCTGAGTGATCTTGCCAAAGCTCATACCTGATTACATCATTTCACCTCCTGCCATCCTCCTGAGGGTCCCTATGGCTTCTCATGGTCCGGAGTCCTTGGATGACCTCCAGAGCCTAGAGCCACCTGGCCCCAGCCCCTCTCCCCCAGCTCGCCTCACGCCTCTGTCACGTGATCCTTGTGGACCCAGAGCAACCCCTTCAGTCCCTGAAACTGTCCTCTCTGCTCACCCCCATGCCTCTGTCCATGGCCCTCCCACTGGCTGGGGTTATAGTGTTTATAATGCACTGTAGAAATACTTGAGCATTTATGGCTTGATTTTATTTTCAATTAAGAACTGCTTAGTGTGAATTTCAACCACGATACCAGTCAATTATGCTAGTCATTAATCCTACACCAGGGTTGGTTGACTTTTACTACATCAGAGAGATCAGATTCCAGAGGGATCTGTAACCAGTGCATTTACTGCTATCTTGACCAAATAGTGTTGCCCATTATAATGCACATGGATGTCAGAATGAGCTTTTATTGGCGCAGTTAGTCATTAGTTGATCAGCAGCCATTAGACGATTACCCATCATGAAAATGAGCTGGAAGTCAAGATATTTGGATTCCCTTACAGGAAGAGGTTATAAGAATATAGCAAATACTATATAAAATGCAGTTCAAAGTGGATTATAGATCTAAATGTAAAACCTAAAGCTTTAGAACTTTTAGGGAAAAAAATATGAAAGAATTTTAGTCACTTTAGTTAGGCAAAGATTCTTAAATCTAACACCCAAAGCACTGTCCATAAAAGAAGTAAATAATAAATTGAACTTCATCAAAATGTAAAGCCCTTCTGTGAAAGCCACTGTGACAATGAAAAGAAAAGGGACTCTTTCCCTCCCTGGCTGCTGGGACATCGGCCGCTGTCATGAACGACACAGGGACTACCAGACCAGGAAGTTCATGACCAACAGACAGCTGCAGCGGAAACAGGTGGTCCGTGACATCCTTCACCCTGCGAGGGCAGCAGTACCTAACCCGGAAACTCGGGGAAAACACCAGATGTCACCTTTGTGTTTGGATTCAGAACCCATTTTGGTGGTGGCAAGACCGTTGGCTTTGGTGTGATGTTTGATTCCTGGGATGATGCAAAGAAAAGTGAACCAAGCACAGACTTGCAGGGCGCGGCCTGGGTGAGGATCAGGAGACCTCAGGGAAACGGTGGAAGGAGCGCAGGGCAGGATGAAGACAGTCAGGGGCACGGGGGCCGACGCTGGGGCTGCCAGAGCAGGAGGGGAGGTTCTTTAGGGGCCTTCTCTGTGGTGGCGGGCAGATTTTCCAACAGAGGACTGATAAACTCAGAACTTTTATGTGAAAGAGAAGACAAGTAAAAGAGCGGGAGAAAATATTTGCAAAGATGCATATCTAATAAAAGACTTGCTTCCGGAAAATATAAAGAACTCTCAGAACTTAGTAAGAAAGCAAACAACCTACTTTAAAAAACATTAGGCAAATGATGTGAGCACAGAGATATATGGATAATAAGTAAGTCCATGAAAATACACCCAACATCATCAGTCATTAGGAAAATATGAGTTAAAACCAAAATGAGATACCATTATACATCTATTGGAATGACTAAAAAATGTCTTAACTGACAGATACTCTTTGAGGGCATTGCGCTAAGTGAAATAAGCCAAAGAAAGACAAACCATTTTGTGGTATTATACATGTGGAATAAAAAAAAAAAAAGCCAAACTCATAGAAACAGAAGAGTAAGTGGTGGCTGGGCAGTAGAGGAAAGAGGAGGCGGCCGGAGCAAGGTGCAAACTTCGGTTGTAAGATGAACAAGGTCTGGGGATCTGACGTGAAACGTGGCGACTCTGGTTGGTGACACTGGACTGTATCATTGAAGTTTGCTACAAGAGTAGAACTTAAATGTTCTCACTAATCAAAGAATAAATGAGTGACGTAATGGAGGTGTTAATTAACTAGATGGAGGAGGGATCCTTTCAGAATGTATACCCATCTCAAAACACTTTAAATATCTTACAGTTTTCTGTGCCAAGTGCACCTTAGTAAAGCCAAACTTTAAAAAACCGACAACACTAGGTGCCGGTGGAGGGTGAGGAGCAACTGGGACCTTGCGCATCGCTGGTCGGAAAGCACGGCACAGGGACTTCGGAAAACAGTTTGGCAGTTTCCTATAAAGTTAAACCTGCACTTACCATATGACCCACCAGTCCACTTTTAGGTATTTACCAAAGAGAAACAAAAGCTTATACAGAAACCCGTACATGAAGCAGCTTTATCCACAATCACCCCAAACTTGAGACAGCACAGATGCCGACTGGTGAACAGTGAAACTGTGGCGCCTCAACAGATGGGAGGAGTGAACAACATGGACCCATCCCAGACACTTAAGCAGAAGGAAGAAGCCAGTCTCCACAGCGACACTCGTGTATGGTTCCATTTGTGTGGCATTCTGGACAAGATGGAATTGTGGGACAGAAAACACATCCGTGGTTGCAGGAGCCTGGGGTATGAGTAGAGGCTGACTTCGAAGGGGACAAGGACATTCTCTAACTCAATTATGGCGGTTCTTATGCAACTGTGCGCATGTGTCAGAAATCCCAGAATGGAGTGTCACAGGTTCGATTCCCAGTCAGGGTACATGCCTGGGTTGTAGGCCATGACCCCCGACAAACGCACATTGATGTTTCTCTCTCTCTCTTTCTCCCTCCCTTCCCTCTCTAAAAATAAATAAATAAAATCTTAAAAAAAAAAAAAGAAATCCCAGAATGGTACTCTTAAGAGGGTGGATTTTCCTGTTTGTAAATTTTTTCTTAATAAACCTGACTTTAAAAAAGGAAGGTGATGGTCAAGCCTGTTCTTGCATCATTTGGGATATTGCCCAAGGCTTTTGCAGCGCCTTGCACTATTTTTAACAAATTCATCACTACTCGGTGTTTTATTTAATACTAGACTAATGTTAATAAATATGCTAATCATGATGGCAGCCAACACTACTGTGCACTTCCTTCATGCCAGACCCTATGTAACACGCTCTCTGTGTAGTAGCTCCTCAGCTATTGTTATCATTCCCATTGCACCGGTAAGGAAACTGGGACAGAGAGGGGAAATAGCGTGCCCAACGTCACACAGGTAATACGTGTTGGAATTGGGAATCGAAACCAACCCAGTCTTATTATAAAGCTTACACATGTGAGATCTGTGACTTCTGCCTCTCATTTTCACGATGACAGTATATTCTGGAAGATGTAGTGCTTTTCACACCATGCACGCCGTCCGGTCACCGAAAAGGATGTCAGTGCTCATCTCTCCCTCCCCCACAACTCGTGGATTGAATAAGCCAGGACCGCAGAAGCTGACGTGCTCAAGGTCCCTGAGCTGTTCTGTGGCATGACTACGATGGCTTTCCATTGAAAAAGGGGAGGGGTCCGTAAAATTTTGCAGGGCCGCTGCTTCTTTAAAGATCGTTTTCATCAGAAAGACTTCTTGCTAAATGCCCTCCCCAATCTCTCTTTTTCAGGGTTCACTGCTTCCACTATCTCATCCCTCTTGCGAAGGAGGGGAACTACGCCATCGTCGCTAATGTGGAAAGTATGGACTATGACCCTCTGGTGGTCAAGCTCAACAAGGACATCAGTGCCATCGAAGAGGCCATGAGCGCCAGCCTCCAGCAGCACAAGTTCCAGTACATATTTGAAGGTCGGTCCCAACCCCTGGCCCTCGAGTATGGGAGGAGGGAAGAGCTATGGTTTTCCTGGTTTTTCTGCATCACTGAAGTTCAAAATTTGCAGAAAGAGGTTGTTGGGACTTTTATTTCTTTTTTGATGAAAGCTGCAGTACCTGGTATCTCTGCGTATGGCTAGGTCGACACCAATATGGCTGCCATCTGCTCCTGGTTGATAAGGAGATTCAATCCAAGATAAGGCAGATGGCAGCCCGGCTGCCTCCCTGACGTGCCACTCGGGAAAGCTGGATGGATGTGTGGAGGGCCACGAGTTACCTCAAGAGGAGCTCATAACGGAAAAGAAACACACGTGCACACACACACACACAATGAGGAGAGAACCCTGAGAAATCCTTCAGTGGCTAAAATTGGTCCCGAAAGGGGGAGTTTTCTCCCTGAGAATGCGTGATTGTCGGACACCAGCAGACACCTCTGACTGGCAGCGATTTCAGGGTGGCTGTGAACGCCTTCAGGGGCGGGGAAGGGTGTGAAAGGCAGCGCCATCTGCGTTTAAGGTCAGAAATCATGATGCCAGCCAAGCCTTCATCGTGCGGAATTCCTTCCTCGGACCCCTTCTAGGGCTTTACATTCTGTCCCCTCTCTTTCGGTTTCTTCGTATGTAGGCCTCGGTGCTAAAGCACCCATGGGCCCCACATAATGCAGCCAGCGTTATTTAGAGCAATCCACTTTTGAGCTAAAGCATACTCCTGTCTGTTTCGTGGGAGGAAGAGGAGGTGAAATCCATGCACCACTGTATTTTCATGGCTTCCTCTCCCCTCCCCTCCCAAATTACCTGTACAGGAGAAAGCGTTCCTGTGCACTTCGGGAGTTTTTTTAACTGGGCATATTCTCTAAGCCCTGGCACAACGGCCTCAGGTACACAGGTCGGTGCTGGGATTTGCTAGGCTTTGTTGCCAGCAAAAGGCCCCCATCTGTAAGTACTAGGGCCGTGTACACATACTCCACAGTCATTGCGACGCCCGCTGATGCAGCCTTCAGAGATACGTATTCTTTGCTCTTTGACACTGGCAGAGGATTAGAAGAGAGAAACCCCGTGTGTCCACTTATGCGAGGCGGCACTAATCTGTCCTCTCTTGTCTTCCCGCCGCCGTGTGCCGGCCCCTCAGGCCTAGGACACCTGATCTCCTGCATCCTCATCAACGGTGCCCAGTACTTCAGGCGCATCAGTGAGTCTGGCATCAAGAAAATGTGCAGGAACATTTTCGTTCTCCAGCAGAACTTGACCAACATCACCATGTCGCGGGAGGCAGACCTGGACTTTGCGAGGTAAGCAGGTGGATTGGGCTCCGCCCCTTGCACCAAAGCCAGGAACGCATCGCCTGTAAAGTCATTTTTTTCTAAAGTAGATTATTGGTTCTTAAAAAGCTCATTAAAAAAGAAAAACAGGTGATGGACGTTAATTAAGCTTTTGGTGGTGATCATTTTGCAATATATACCTATATCAAATCATTATGTTGTACAGCAAACTAATGTCAATTATATCTCAATTGTTAAAAAGCAAATGAAATTAAATAAATAGATGTTTTTCACTCACAGAGAAGGTAATTCTATAAAAGTCTATTGGACATTTAACATCCATTAGACAGGTAGTTTTTCCTGTTGTCTAACCGAAGTTCTTTTTACTGTAAACTGTTGCTGTTTTCTGGTTATAAAAGTAACATATGCTAACTGCATAATATATGTAATATAAAATACAAAGAACAATATAAAGATTACTCATAAACCTTGAATCGGGAGAGTACAATATTTGGTACCCTTTCTCCTGGCTCTTGTGCACGGGCTGTGTGTACAGGTGAGTTCTCATACCTGTGCACACCTGTGATTTCTCTCCCTGCAGAGTTAAAACTGTGTTAACGCAGTCTTATATTCATTTAACTGTATTTCCCATATCTATAATACTCTTTGAAAGCATGATGTTTCCCATGTCTATTAATATTCCTTGAAAATATTACTTTTAATGCCTGAAAATATGACTTTTAACTCCATGGTATAAATGAACCATTATTTATTTACTTAATCATTTGCAAATGTGTAGACATCTGGATTTTTTCCATTGTTTTCTGTCATTATAAGTAACAGGATTGAATGTGTCTTTACATGAACCTATTTCCTCATCTCTTCCATCTTGTCCCAAGTGACACCATCTCCTCTTGTGTCATCGGGGGCAGGCGAGGGGGCTTACCAGTCCCCACCCACACTCTCCCTCTGTGTAACTGAAGCTTCTTTTAAACAGCACGTTCCCTCTTCTACATTTGCTGATCACGGTGTTCAATGCGCCTGTTCCAACCTGAGAGTTAATTTTATTCCCTCTTTATGTGGTCTCCACACTCTTTACACCTCACTTCCATCGTCAGACCTTCGGCGCTTTAGTGACAGCATGACCAGTTCTGAAGGGGACAGGTGATGACTATGGCGTCTCAGCGCTGAGTGTGTGCCCAGGTGAATTATCCCACCTGCTCCTTGACGGCCAGGAAGTCATTTGTTTTTAATAATCCAGAATGTTCCTGCCTACCGTAGGAATACTTCCGTGTCTTTCCGCTTGATATTTTGATTCCTTAAGAAGTTCAAGGAAATTTGAAACAATTCTTGAGACATTTCAGGGAACGGTGAAGCGTTCTATCACTTTGACAGTGATTAAGACGTATGCTGGGAATCTTGCTTTGGAATCGTATATCTTTAGGTTTAACCTCTCCTCTCCAATTTGCCACTCAATTTGTTCCATTGCTACTCTCTCCCTCTGCTGCTCTCTCCCGCTTCCCGGTCTTACTTTTCCCTGCCTGTCTGTGTGTGTGTGTGTGTTCATTAAACTCCCTATTTTAGGCCAAATTCGGTGGCAAGCCTTCCTTGCTCAGCTCAGAGAAACCAGGTGTGACTGAATGCTGCATTTATTTGGTCGGTCTTATGGGGAATGATCTCATTATTGAATTAGCCTCATAATAACATTGACAAGGGGAACATAAGAACATGGAGGCCTGAGGGAGAGAGAGAGAAGCATTACTAATTCTCTGAGGAATATAATTTCCTAAATTCAATCACCCCTTTTAAATGATTTTTTTTTATTTAGCTGAAATAAGTAAATTAACACAGTTTTTGGCAGACAGTCTGGGTCTCGAAAACACAGCAGAAAAAACCGCGTCTGAATAATGAAGGGCCGACCAGGCAGCTCTGAGGCTGGCGTGGGTGGGCCGAGCGCCAGCGAAGCGTCTCCCCAGGAAATAGCCGCACCAGCCTCCGAGCCAGGCCTTTCGCAGCTGGATCTGGGAGTGAGTCCGAGGGGATGGGTGTGAGCCCACACGTGGCCGTTTGGGGCAGGGACTGCTCCTGTGATTCTTTACTCCTAGTGGGTCGTGAGTCGGGCGAGTGTAAGCGTGCAGCGTGGGTGCGCCTGGCCTTCTCATGCTGGCCCAGGAGACATCTCCTGACTGCACTGCGAGCCCCAGGAGGCCGGGCTGCCCTGTCTGTCCTCTCAGGGCCTGGGCCAGGGTGAGTGCCCCTCATGGTATTGGGTGGGTGAATAGGGGCCACATGAAGGCTTCGTTTGGTGTCAGCGAAGGGCTTGGATAATGACAAACTTCACTTTTATCTTGAATGCCCCGAGAGTTTTAATTGGCTGACATGGGTCAGTTCCTTCCTAGGTGTGTAAGAAACCAGGCGTCTCCCTTGCAGTCCTTTCTTTGTGCAGCAGAAGGTGTTCCAGAAGGGACTGACGTGCCCCTGCTCTTCACAGTCTCCGTCCCTCATTTCCTCTTGCTCTCATACACACACACACGTGTACACGCGCACGTACACACACACACACACACACACTCTTTATAGCCTCATCTTGTTTCCGTTCCTGTTTCTGCCGGGGACAGGCTTTGTGAAATGGGTCCCATCAATCCCACTGAACTGGAGGCTCTGTAAAATAAATAAATACAACAGCGATGGCAAAAGAGCCAGAAATAATAGGCTGGAGCTGTGTGCCTCAGCATTCCTTAAGCAATGTCTAATCAAGCATGGGCAGCATCTGTATTTCCAGCAAATCTCTACAGGAATGTTATCTTCTAACGCAGTAATTAATCACTAGTTGCCATGTGTCAGAAAACTTACTTAACAAGAAGTTGCAAGGCTCTTGTAGAGTCTCACTTCTGCAGCCTTCCTGGCCAGTGGGAAGCGTGAGACCCTTTCTGTAATCAAGAAATGAGGGCTCTGGAGCAGTTCCGTCCACATTCCTTCTTCTGCTCATGGTCTTGTTGTCTCTCGCTTTTTCTACCCACCTGCGCTCTAACTCACCTCTACTAGGAGGATAACCCTTGCACGCGTAAAGAATCAGATGACCTACATGACCTCCAGAGTTACAAAGAGACCCCGTCCCATGGGTAACGATCTCTGCTATGGTTCTGACCACTGTTACTTTTCAAAATCACAAAGATGCTTTGTCCCAGAAAGTCACTGCAGGTTAACTAAAAAGTGGAAGAAGGGCTTTATAACTGTGCTGTTTAGTTCCTTCATCAGAGGTCATCTTACCCCGAGCTGCCGTGCTCATTGGAGGACAGAGCTACAGGAGGAGGGGAGCAAGCCATGCGGACAGCTAGGGGGAGAACATACCCAGGGGAGGAATCTAAGAGCCAAACCCAGAGGGAGGGAGGAATGTGTGTGGCCCTTGACGAGCAGCAGGAAGGCCAGTGTGGCTGCAGTGAGTGCATACGGGGAGAAGAGTAAGAACCGGGGTCAGAGGTTTGATCTGAGGGATGGAGACCTTGCTGGCTGTTATAACGATGTGTTGGCTCTTACGTGCGGTGAGGTAGGCGGCTTCAGGAACAGGAGAGTGCCATGGCCCAACTTACACGTAAGAGAGTCACCGTGGCTGCCATGTGGACCATAGCTGACTGGGAGGAAGAGGTGGCAGGCGAGGGCAGAAGCAGACAAACCTGTCAGAAAGCTGCTAAGTGAAAGTTGAGGTGACTCACAGCGACATGGTAGCAGTGGAGAGGATGAGAGGTGGTCAGATTAGGTTATATTTTAAAATATATCCCGTCATCTGATAGGACTTGCTGAAGGATTGGATGTGAGCCAGTGACTCAAAGGTTCTTCTTCTGGGCAATTCACAGGATAGAGTTTTCATTGACCGAAATGAAAATTAGCCCATTGGAGAGACACATTGAGTTGGGGCTGGGTGGGGAGGGTGAAGGGGCAGAGAGGCAGGGGATATGGAGAGTGTGGGTTTGGCAGTGTTAGGTTTAAGATGCCTATCAGACTTCGGAGGAGAGAGAAAGAAGACAGAGCTGCACGCATTGTACAAACCCAGAGCTCAGGACGGAGGCCGGGGCTGGAGAGAGGAGCTTGGGCGTCATCAGCGTGTGCATGGGATCGAAGGCGATGAGGCGGAGCAAGAGGTGAGAGCTCAGGGGCACGAGCAGAGGAACAACATGAGCTGCCCAGGAAGCGAGCCCGGCACGCCACCGCCGTGCGGATGCTGCAGTCCTGAAGAGCCACCAGTGGCAGCACCTGCAACGGAGCAGGCGACCCGTAGGAAGATAACCGGGAGAGGTCCTGTCCGAGAAGTCAGGTGAAGAAAGTGCTTTAAGAGGAGGGTATCCTCATCTGGGTGCGATGCTCCTGGCAGGTTACATTAGCTCAGGACAGAGAATTGGCCGCTGGCGGGCCACCCAAGAGGCTTGAGGTGCTTTGCTTTGCACTTCTTTATCTTCCCTACTCAACCGACCTAGCAGAGACACAAGCCTTACATGTATCTGGGAATAGGCATCTCCCTCCTCTGTTCCCTAGTAGGGAATACAGTGATTAGAGAGTTTCTGTTGTGATATGGAAAAGTCATCTTTTCTCATTGGCTGGCCACTGAGACAGCTCTGCGCTTCCCAGCATAGGTACTCATCATGTGTTTCCCACCAGGAAGCAGAATCGTGGTCCCTCTAGAGGGGTAAATAACGAGAGCACTGGGTGCTCTCGTTGTAAATGAGGGGCAGTCTCTGCTCCCCGGAGCCCCACCCCTCCCTTGCCAGCTGCCTTCCACTGACTCTGGGTGAGCTTTGGAGCTGGTCTAGATATGTTCACTTAACAGTGGAGACCTGGGTTTCCTACACATAGTGCCTGTACATAGGAACATGTGCTCCACAGAAGCCAACAGAGAGCTCTCCCTGGTAGAGAAAGAACCCTTTGAAACCTAGGGACCAAAGGAGAAAAAAGTCTTGCCTGAAATGCCTCCTCTGAACACAGGTTTATATGAAGAAGCACAATATACCATATTTGTTTAACTCAGTAAGAAATGG